TTTTGCACCAAAATTACCCCACTGTAAAATTTAAAAAACACTGAGTGAGCAAAAATTTGTGAGATAGCTAGTTATAATAGCTAGTTATAAGATAGGTAATTAAATAATGTTTACATATGTATACATTAAAATCTGTCATATAAATTGGTCTCTTCATTAGAAATGATACTGATTGCCACCATTGATGGACAAAATTTTTTCATAATATTAAAAATATCTGTATGACATTATATTCTGCAGTTCTTCTCTGTTGTACCGAATATCTACACTTTTCAAATTATCATATCGAAGTTAGAAATTCAAATATTGTGACAAAATTAATTTTGTAGGGATACTTAGTCGGGCAACCTTTAGCTTTAATGACAGCCTGTAGTCTCCTGGGCATGCTGTCATTCAGGTTCATGCAAACCTGATCTTAAATTTTTTTTCCCAGACTCGGTCTGAATAATTTTTGGTATCAGTTTTACTGGTGGTTTATTTTTGGGTATAATTTGTCATAAATCTCCTAACTGTGATATTTTCAGAAATAGATGTCGCATTTTTTTCATCTGAAACGTGCTGCGATTTATATTCCAAAGCCTCTCATATAATGCAGAAACACTCAAGCAAGCAAAACGCACAACGCGTGTACGTATTTGTACTGGTGCAGAATGAGAGGGACAAGTAGTAGGCTGCAGACTAGCGCATTTGTGTGAAATGATTCACATTCACTTTCACATTAGATTCACTTTCGCCAGAAAGTCGTGTATGACTAAGGTTGAAACACATCCGACCGAACTACAAGCTTTCCAGTGATGTCTGTGAGAAAGGCATATTCACTCGACAAGCTCGCACATCTGCGACGCCGCGCGCTCAATCCACTCAGCGTGCTTTGCTTATCAGCTCGTGCACATCAGCTATACAGGCGTTAATACTGAATGTTTAACATTATATTCATTGCATACATATACTTCGTAGACATCCTTAATCTCTAATAACTCCATTCTGCTGTCTGTTGTTCTGTTGTCGGTATTTCTTTGTCTGAATATGGCACTTATCACATGCTGTGTGGTATCGGCGTTTGGTATTGGGGCATTTTAACGAGCTCAGTATCGGGCCCGATACCGATACCAGTATCGGTGCATCCCTAGTAGGCGTGGTTGACTCTTAACTTTTAAAAAGTATATCTTTTTGGATTTGAGACTTCAGTCTTTGCAACTTTACAGATCTTCTTTATGCACCAAGAGCTTGTAACACTCCAAAGAGAAATGAAAAATCATATGACCCCTTTAACAAACTAATGCACAAAATCTCAGTATGACTTTACATATCACAAAATGAATTTCTTTCTCGTAATTTAACTTCATGTCGCAGAATGTGAATTTTAACAAAATAATACACAATTAATTCTTAGTGAATGTGTGTTTAAGGTTTTTTCTTTGCTAACACTATTCACTTACTAACTGTAGAGAAATATCAGTAACACAATGGCACTTCCAGTGTTATATGAATCCAAGGCTGTGTATCACAGCAGCCAGACCACAAAGGGATCACAATTAATGTTGCCTGATCTTAAATATGGCACACAGGGCTGTTCCACTTCCAGATTGTGAGAGATTCCCGCCAGGGAACGGATATGGGCTCAGCGTGTCTGCCAGCTTTACCCTCAATATGTCAGTGTTAGCGCTGCGGTCCTCTTGTTCCTCTCACCCTCTGCAGTAAAAGAACAGACACAGCCGGTCTGGAATAATGACTTGGGCTGTCACATCAAATCAAAAGGTGCTATCTTAATCAGTGAGGGTTGTGAGTGAAATGCAATGAGACGTGTCTCAGGCCTCTTTTTTTTTTAGAAAGGATTTTAAAGGTTTCATTATGTCACAGCCTTTGGATCACTGTCTTGATTTGATTTGAAGAAATAGTTAATTCAAAAAAGGTTTGGAAAAGCATGACGGTGAGTAAATTATAACAGAATGTTCACTTTTTGGTGAACTATCCCTTTAAATCAGTCTCCAATTTATCCAAAACTCATTTCCCCTTTTATGTTGTCATATTTAATCAACTGAAGATGTGGTGACCATAACAATACATACAATTATCCAACAGAGACATTAAATGCTACTTAACTCACTTCTTTGTGGAATTACACGATCACCTAATATTTACACCATCGGCTAATGGAAGCTGTTTGTGTGTCCACATTTCCCAGCTGTGATGTTTTTATTTTGTATAAAGGAAGAAGGAAAATATGCAAACTCCAAACCTCAGCTGCTACTCACAGCAGGCCTTTCAAGACACAAAAATGGTATTATGCAACAAATTGGCAAGGAGATGGATCTGACAACCATGTTCAATCCACTATTTTCTGTAGTGCACATGAGATTCGTCATTTACTGCCCCCCCCAGTTCTGAATAAAAATGAGTTATTCTGGTAGTTCCAGGCTCTGAGGCTCTGATAATGTATTGGAGGCGATATTTCTGCACTCTACTGTCTGTAATGACTGCTGTCAGTGAATTAAACATTAAACGTAACTCATGCCAAGGTGAAAAATGCCTAGAGTGGTTTTTATTTTACTGGAATAATCACTTGCTCCTGTTTCTTTTTCCTAGAAAGGAAAAATACTAATTTATCTTCATTA